TTGGTCTAAACACACTATTAAACTATCTAGCAAGTCTTGTTTTATGATAGGGTTAACTTGTCTCTGCGTGAGAATATTGTCTATTATGTTTATTACGTCAATTGGTGGAATGCTAGGAAATAAGTTTTGAACATCAAATGAAACTAGAATTGCCTTAGGACGAATTTTTATGTCTTTAACCTAGTTAATTAATAGCATCGCATAGCATATATAAGTTTAAAGTCAGTATTATATTCTAAAATTTTAATTAATCTTGTTGAAAATTTAACTGATGGTGTTGTTAGACAGAAACTACAGGCTGTATTGGCATATGTTTGTTTGTGTAATTTACAAACACCATTATCATTACGCTTGCAATTCTGAAACTAATAACAACCTCCCATTCTTAGATATTCTTATCAATAGAAAATCAGAGCTAACATTGTGTCATTATGTTTACAGAAAACCTACGCACAAAGACCGATACATTAATGCATTGTCACATCACCATCCGGCCCAAAAATCATCGGTTATCACATCTCTTGTTTAGAGAGCTGTAAAACTATCTCAGCCCGAGTCACTAAACCCAGAATTAAAGCACCTTACCTTTGCTCTTCTCTCTAATAATTTCCACATTAAAGATATTAAGCGTTCCATCACAAAATACAGTTCACCACAACCTTCCAACAGCAATGAAACCGAAACTACTCCCACATTTGTCACTGTTGTCCTTCCTTATATTCAAAACATCGCTGACCACATATCAAAAGTTCAAAAGAAATATAACGTCAAAACCAGATTTACCACACATCTTCGACCCGTCAAAGACAAAAATCCATTTGAAACGCCAGGAGTTTACAGCATTCCAAGCATATGCGGCAAAGAATACATTAGAGAGCCTGGAAGAAAAATATCAACTCGGCTCAAAGAACATGAAAGAGCCTTAAGACTAAGACAAATAAATTCATCAGCAGTTGCCGAACACAATCACGAACCCGGACATAAAATTTTAATCGATAAAACTGAAATTCTTGCATGTAATCAATTCTTCTACCAACGAAAATTCCTAGAGTCTTTATAAATCTATAAGGAACCCAACAATCTTAACCGCGACTCAGGTCTCTACATGTCCCCAATCTGGGAATCAGTCATCCGAGACGCTGTTTATGCCCCTCATTTAGCTCCACCCCCCTCAAACAATATAAAGGCAGGAACATAGTAAAATGTTTCAGTCAAGCTTTGAAGAAGCCAACAGGATGATTGGCGAAACGGTAGCTAGTTCGAGTCAACAAAAACCGACGCAGGAGGAATTCAGAAGTTTTATAAAAAGTATTACATTAGCCTGTGGAAGTTTCTTTGAAAAAAAAAAAGTAAATAATTCTTCTACACCGATCATGTCAAACTAAATATTGAGATTGCGATGTTGCACTTATTAATAGGGTTATTTCATTAGATCCTTGTCTGTTTGTAGTTTTTAAAATAACAGCTACTTTATTAAAAACAACATGGTTTTAAAATCTCAAAATACGAAACAACATCGACAATAAAAATACCAAATTATTTAAAATATATCTAATTTTGTATTTGTTTAAGAAAAAAATGTTGAATACAAAAGTAATAGAGAATACTAAAAGAAACAATTTAAAATTATTGTCAAATATACGGGGCGATTTATAAGTAAGAGGCAAACCAAGCTTACATTTTTATAAAGTGAATTTGAACGCTCTGCTGGACTCAATAGTTCATATTTCGAATGTCCTGTTCACTTATTATCATGAACTTGGTTTACTTATTTACGTATTTATCCTGTCCATCAAAAAATAAAGTTCTATTATTATTTTTATTATTTCAATTTCAATTTCAAAACTACGCGTAATTTGACTAAAACAATTTATGCAGATTAAACGTGGACGTAGTTTTTTAACGACGTGACTACGCTACCAAACGATTGATAAAAGCGAATTGCGTAGACGGATCATATACGACACGATATTATCTATCGAGGAAATTCCGATCGGCGCGAATTGGATTGCCGAATCGATAAATTATATCGTTAAAAGTTAATTTTTTTTTGTTCGGAAGAGAAAGCGTTTGACGCGTTTAAATAAAAAAAAGAAAGAAATAAACTAATTAGTTTGGTTCGGCTCGATGATTTGGCCGGTCTCACTTTCATATATGGTTATTAGTTTGCGAATTTTTTTTAAAGAAGCTATTAATAAATTAAAATAATTTAACCAAGATGGGCTTATCGAGAGGCCTGTTATGCGCATCAGATTAGTACTAATAGAAAATATGTGAAAACGTGTTAGGAAAACGAACGGTGCTAGAAATTTGAAAAAAAAATGAACCAAATCGCCCAAGACAAAATGCCGGAAATTATTTTTTTGTTTATTGTCTTGAATTTTGAAACTCGGCTCATCTTCAAAAATTTCTAATGTTAACCATGGCTAAGGTGACTACCATTTTAAAGATGAGACAAATTCAAGTCTATTTTATTTAATGCTATTTGCTCTACCTCCGTAAGGAAAAAAGGCTTAACGTATTTGAATAAACTTAGAGTTATTAAATCAAATCAATCAATCAATCAATCAACAAGTAGATGCCGTCGAGATCAGAATTATCAAAAAGATCGGAAGGCACACAATTTAATCAAAATTAAACATTCTATAAAATATCCCTATTAAAACAGAGTATTGCCTGCATTTGATTTCAATAGAAAACAAGAAAATGAAAATTTAAATCAATTAAATAATTAATTAATTAAATTAATTAAATTAATTTAAATAGATTTAAAACAATGGAGCGATCATTAAAATTCCAAGGAAAATGCATTTTTTTTCTATTAACGCTATCCTCGAAGAAAAAAGTCCTGTTTTTTAGTTTCAAGTGCGGGGTGTCCCATTATAAATTACCAAATCGACAACTTTGTGAATATTGATCCTACGATGAAGTTGGAGCATTTTTCCTAAATCTTCCGATTCTGCAATCAAAAATATAAAATAAAAATTTTATCTGTCAAATGTTGACAGGTCGACATTTTTTTAAATTACCCTGTATACTGTACACCCTGAATTCAACTATATACATTTTTGGCATATATCAAAAGAGTTTATTTGTTGTATGATGTTCTATTGTGCAATATTGGTAATTATTAGGACATTTCAAGTTAAATATATTTTCATTTATTAACAACTTACTTACTACTTATAAAAGAGCATATTAAATACCTAATTATTATCAAAAAACGTGTTAGTAAAACATGGTCTTTAGTATTCTAAATTTATTTCACAAAAGATGTTCGAAATGACCACCATTCGATATACCTTATAAGAAGTTCTGGTTGCCCCACTTCTTCTATAAACTCTCGATTTTAGGAATCCCCATAAAAAGGTGTCAAGGGGAGTAAGATCTGGACTGTTAGTTGGCCAGATTATTACAGCATTTTTCCCATCCAGACATTGTATTTATTTTGCAAATCGTCTCTTACGTCTCTTATACTATAATATCTACTATATTTGCAGTCACAGCAAGAGATAACTTCTTCTACTACTTCTACTCTAAATCGAAAGAAATTGAAATATCAATCAAAAACAGTCAAAAACAGGGTCCCAAAAGTCTAGAAGAAATAATACCGCTCCAAACTCTTATAGATTGGCTACCAGATTTTTTAATTGGCAAAATTTCGTGGGGATTTTCGCTTGATCAGAAATGAGTGTTTTCGAAATTAGTCAGTGGGGCAGTATTAAATGAGGACTCGTCTGTAAACAATATGTTTTTGAGTAAAATTAGGTGATTTTTGAATTCGTTCTAACATAATGCGACAAAACTCAAGACGTGTCTGTCTCTTTGTCTTCATCTGTAAGATGGGGAACTTTTGTGAACTTATAAGCGTGCATTCTATGTGTCTTTAAAATCTGCTGCCATCACAATCACAAACAAAAATTGTTATTACGATTAAATACTGTTTTGTGAATTTTTACTGGTGTTTGATTTAATACCTAAACTATAAAAACATTCTAATGTTAGCATCATATTTAATTCAAAAACTGGAAAATTGCCTTATTAAAATTTATTCAAACTCGGCACACGAGTAAATCATATCGGCCCCTTCAAAAAGTAATATTACAACTTTGCTACCAAATGTACAGGGAAGCCAATATTTAGGCAAATAAAAATTTACATGGAAGTTCCTACGTTCCGTTCGGCGATGCATCACTCGGTATAAGTCAGATAATGCTAACAGTGCTAATAATATAAAACATGTATATTTACTACTGACCAATAATATTTTATCCGGTACGACTTTTTTTTAAGCTGATTAGAAAACATAATTTTTGTGAATCATATTGAACATAGTTTGTACTGCACTAGCTGCAAGATTTTACCAAGCTGAGAGTCACCCAGCTTATAGAGACTTGTTGTATGTGTTAGTCTCTGATCGATATTGGAACGTTTTTGGTATAATATGCTACCATAATTTTCACTTGTTTTTAATTTGCTAAAAGTTTCACCTACATGTTAATTTGTATGCTAAGTGAACCACATAAAGAAATAGAACTGAAGATGTTTTTTTATTAACATTTTCAAAACAGGTTTTCATTTTGGCGCGTTGAATCTAACTTTTGAAGGATGCAGGGTAACAAAAACGGCAACTAACTTTCTTTTATCGCCTATCACGCAAGCCTATCTTTTTCTCATAACACAACTTTTCTAATTTTAAACGCTAAAATTTTAAAACTTTCTCTTAACCTCTTTCGTAAATATTTAATATAAAACACATTTTCAGGACCATTCCTCTCTGTGACTCAGAAAAAACTATAGATGTAGAATAAGCAGTTATAGTTTCAGAACACCCTGTATGTATTTATTTATTAATGGGGATGTTTTTTATTTTCACCAATTATACAAATCAACCGTAACCTAAAATATCGAATAAAAGCTAACAAAGTGACGCCGGTATTCCGGAGAACCATTTAAAACCTTATCAAATCAATACAAAATAATTTAAAATTGTCGCTTACCTGGGAATTGGTCATGTTTCCTGCTCCAAAAACGTAAAATGTCATGCACAAAAAGCCATTCAATGAAACTGAAAATAAACAAATAAAAAATAAAAATTCTACGATTAACAAGTATTCATGCATACGGGATTTACTTGCTCAATTATAATCGGAAAAAGTACCCAAAAATGAGATAATTAAATAGTATAAAATATAACGTTTTTCCACGTGTATTTGCAATTTCGTGTGTGACCAAGGTAGTTGTGTTGATCTAATAATCTATGTGATCTAGAGGTACCAGGTAAATCTACCTGCAAACTAATAATAGAGCAATTCGCCTACACTACTGATCTAACATTACCAAAAAAAAACAAACATACAGATTTCCACTCACCCTTTTCTCAGGTTTGGTGCACGACCGGTTATCAATCGAATTTAGCACTTTCTGAGGCGAGTTCTCCTTATCAGAGTCGCAACTCATACTCGAACGATATCGTCGACACAAAGATCCACTTTTATCTTATTTATTACCGCGACGAAAGCCAAACGGCAAACTTGGAAGCATTTAAAAATTTAAAGTCCACATCTCCAACTTCGCTGTCGTTTTCACAGAACGGGACAATCGATATTTCGAACGCGACGCGACGTATCACGCAAACAGCTGTCCTACGTGTGTTAAAATTGCTGCGGTTCGTCTTCCTTTATTTTTATTTTTTCCTTCCCGTTTCTATTTCGTCTATGCCGAGCATGACGTTCGGTTTTCTATGCCTTCGACGTTCAGGTAGCGCCATCTGTCCGCAGCTAGCTCGAAGTTGTTTTAAAAAGAATAGAAATGCCAAAATACACAAACTACAAACACCAATATAGTTGTGCAATCCACGCTATAGTGGCTCTGTTTAAGATTTACAGAACTAATAAAATTGTTTTTCTACTTAAAGTAATTTCCTTTATTTGTTTTGTGGCTGTGTGGCTGTTAACGCTTTTTTTTCCGGTTGAATAATTTAGGCATAGATTTTAGGGCTACCTCGAATATCTTTTTGTACTGTGTGGAATAGAAGGCAAAGTCTAAGAAAAAGTAGTTTGATGTTAGAATCGGCAAACCTTAGTGTTGGGTGACAGTTTTGGTTAGTTTATACTTAGACCGTCCACTATACAACAGAAATAATTTGCACCTTTTTGTACAATTTAACCAATTTAACAGCGTAAATTGAGCCTGCCAGAATTTGATTAAACTATTCCTTTATTTTCATTCAATTGTTTTAAACTGGATATTTTTTTGAAGAGCAAAATTAAAAATAACATCCAACAGGAAGTACGTTTCATATTTTCAATTCTTTTCAAATTTGTTAGAGAGAAGAAAGACACAACCATTCAGGATCGGGCTGTATAAAACACTTAAAAAATTCAAACAACTTAAAAATGTTGGAATATGGATCCACGACATGTTACCGTTTTCCTTTTTGCTTCATTTTCTTTGCACATTTTATGTGTACAGAATGAATATTGATCTGTTCATTTTTTTTTGTAATTGTTATTTATTACTTTTTAAGGTTATTTTAGTTATTTAGTTTTTTTAGTTATTTTGAAGTTATTAAAGTTATAAGTTTATCGATAAGTATTTAGTAATTTGCTGCGGTATTATAGTTCTAAACGTTTCTTTTTTTTACCTATTGGCTAAGACTATGCATATGCTCTAAAAATAATCTAATAAACTCTAAAGTCAATTACTATTTGATATGAACTATTCTTTGCATTGTATTATTATAGGAATAGGAATAATATTACAGGAATTTCTTTAATCCATACACCCCATCTTTTGTGTTTAAATGTTTTTATATAGTCTCTTTTTAACCTGAGTATTCAGTGCTGCCGATACAGTACCCGAGATGGCGCTGGAAACGGCTGGCAACGCCAGTAGAAACCTACAGCGAATAAGCGGCAATCATGCGGCAACCGGATAAGAGATGGTATATGCTCACAACCATGTTCACAGTGAATTAATACGGCCACTAAATGAGAGAGGGCGCTCGTGAAAATTGTGGTTTTGATCTTGGACAGGTAGTCAGTTTTTTTCAAATCTTGTTTGCCCTTGTCCCTTAAGTATAAATGTTATTATTTTTTAACGTTAATAGATGGTTGCAAAGTACGTTGTAGGCAGAATATGAAAGAATGATCGCCGTTAATCTGGAAGGTGTAAATTTTTTCTAATGCCGCCTCAACTGCGACCGGGAAGCTGACCATTTAGTGTGTGTTTCAATGGTGTACAGAAAGTAGTAGTTTGTCTTTGGAAAATGGATGCGGTTTTTCATTTTGGTGAGTTTGCAGAAAAAAAAATCCTTATTTTTATCATTGTTTTACGACCACGAAACATGTTGTGATTTTGCGTATTTTATAATATAAATAGTTTTCAAAGGTAAGAAATGTTACTGCAGGGATTGCAAAACACAAGTGTAGTCCTGGCGATGAATCTGTAGTATAAATTAAGCGTTTGCTATTATCGCGTAATTATTTGTTAACCATGTTGTTGTGTGACGCTAAGTATCCTGATTTGTCGCAATTGTTTTACGATGAAGCCGATGCTGTGCAATTTTTGACATTTGTGGATTGATGTTGCTGATTGTGTGTCCATTAGAATGTAACTGACCTGAGTTTGGAAGTTAAGAAATCCCATTGCAGACAATGGCATATTCCCAAATATGTAATCTGCTTGGTTAGAACCATTTTATGCTCTTCACATGGAAAATACATTCTGCACGTGTCTTTTCCGTGTGTAGGTTAAAACAAAGGAACCTGTATGGGACAATAAAACAACCATTTCAATATGCGACTTTATCATTTCTCTTAAATAAAATTTACAGTAATATATTTACATTATTTTGCAAAAAATAATACAGTATTTTGCTACGTCATAATTTCTATATAAAAGTCCTTCATTTAATTAAAAAACAAAACGAGAACAGAAATTTGCCAATAATCAGCTGATATTGACGACGCTGTTGGGATCGCTGGTTAATAAAATGATATTTGAACCGTAAAGGAGGCATTATCTAAAGAGAGTTTTTTTTTTGGTCCGAAACAAACACAAATGATATGTAACTTTGGTCTTCAAAATAATTTAAACGATATTATACAATGTGCAAAAAATATAATTGGTCCTCTTGTTTTCGATCTGCACTCTCGCACTCACAAAGACTTTTCCGAATTTGCTCAATTTGCAGATCGTTTAAGAAACAAAAACAGTTAAAAACAAAACGAATAAAATTAGCAATTATTGGCAAAATTTTACTTACTGAATTATAAAGGAAACAATTTGTATTTACACTTTCTTTTACATTATATAATTTTGGAAGCGAGTTAGTGTTTGGATACTCTTTAAATCGTTATATTACTGGTGTCGATAATGTAAATTTTCTATAAATATTTTTTAAATATAATTCTTTCGTCACGTACATATACAGTTTTTAATATTGACATCTAAAACTCAGCTAAATTTTAGAATAAGTTAACTGTTGGCATTCCTTAATCATCTATAAATAATGTGAACCTTTTTTTTGGTTAGTTTTTTTTTTTTAAATAATAGTGCTGATTTTCTTAGGAACTCTTTATAAAGGACGACGCCGCAGCTCGAACCCCGTAGCTCGAGCTACCGCGCGTGCTAAGAACAAAACATAAACAGACACAGACACATATAAGGACAAATAAAATAAAACTGCGAACATAATTTTTACCAAAATATATTTTTCTATCACATTGAATTTTTTTTCTCGAAAAAAAAAACGGGGAAAAAAGTTACACAAGAGGCCATAAACGAAATTTGTTGTTTTTAACCCTAAAGACCTTACTAATTTGTCTCTACACAATTAACTATAGGTATTGTATATACTGGGGTGATAATTAGTTATTAGGTAATATAATTATATGTTAGGGGTGTACTTATAAGTATTATTATCACAGTCTTGAATGTTCCTAAATCGAAACGAAATTCCGTCGGTTTTTTTTTAATAATTTTTTTTAGGCTTAAGTTGAACGAATACACGCAGACGCAGCATTTTAATTTCGTCGACTGTTCGCTACACGGTGGGCCGGAAAAGGGAGACTCCCGATTGTTTACTTGCATTCAGTTTTGCTTGCACCCTAACCCTTTGGGAACCCGCTATGTAACGCAACAGCTGAGGAGTCGTACAATTTTAATCGCTTAATGAAAATACCGTAATGTAATCGACTATTGTATACATATGTTATATGTATAAAAAAATGTTTGATTTTCGGCCGTAAGCAAGTGTCTTTGTCTGTCGCGTACCCGAGGTTCACAGAATTTATACGTTGTCGTTTAATACTTAAAAAGCCTATGCACATCGATATAACATGCGAAAAAAAAATTTGGTTCGAAAAATTCCGCTACTTAATAGATTTGCCGCGCGCGGTCCCGTGAATCGTTCTCGCCCGGTATATATACATCTATATACGGTCACCCGGAATGTTCGTACTGCACGGGAACAACCCCTGAACGCGTCCGCGCGATAATAATACTAATTTCTCTACACTGGCCTCCATTTTCCCTCCCCAAAGTCCGCCGCCGCACATAAACCTTAATTTTTCCTGCGTCTTATTTACAAAATTGTACAGCGTTAAAATTAATTAGTTTGATTTAGACGTTTCTTCTCATCAACGACACGAGATTTAGTCTGTATAACTCCAGTGCACGGCGTTTCGCTCTCGCTCTCTCAACATTTTTGTTTTATATATTATCACACGGGGGTTTCACTCACGTACGGTTTCGGCAATACAGTGAGCGCGCGAGGAACTCTATTCGAACAGGGCCAGCAGGTCGTCGTTGGTGGACGCGTTCGCGTGACCCGAACTGCTGCCGCTAGATGGCGGCGTGTTTAGGTCGGGCGGTTCCAGGTACGACAGCAGTTCCATCGGGTCGACACTGTCCGGCAACAGCTGCAACGAAAGATCGGCGTTAAAAATCAGCTCACTTTTGCTTGTTAAAAACATTAAACCACAAACAACGTAAACGCATCGATAACTACTAAAGCAAGAAAGCTGAAAAATGGATAAAGTGATGAATAAAAGTGTATGATCGCGTAACCCCGGGGCGCTGTAGTTGAGACACCATGTCTAACCACGTTTGGCTTGGTGCGAGTCGTAAGGCTTCAAAAACGCCCAATTAAACATCACCTCAGGTGAACTCACACAGAAATGGAACTAAAATACTGTTGTGCTCTGTCATCCTATGAGATGAAGGATTGCAGTAAAACCAATGCAGTACTTTTGTAAGCCTTAAAGATATCATCTATTTCATTTGCAAAAGCGCAATCATAACTGTAACCGGATCTACAATCTAATTGTTTCCATTATTTTCTTCAGAATCTTAGAGAGTATAGGCAGAATAATAAAAGAATGCCGATGATTAAACTCTTAAATCTATTTTAGACTTGTGCTTGTTTCCAAAATATAGCGTGGACGATATGCTTTTTCAACTGTGGTGAAAAAAATTAAAGTATTATATTGTTTTCCTAATCGCCAAAGCCAAAGAAGCAAACAGGAGAATTGGCGAAACGTCAGCAAGTCAACAACGAAAGGGGAATCTAGAAGATTTGTAAATACTATTATAGTAGCTTGTGGAAGTTTCTTTCAAAAATGGGGGACTTTCTCATCAATACTACTTGAATAAAGAACACTGTGGCAAGGCATACTCTAAAAGTCTTCTTCTAACTCCTTTTGAAATACTGTCTGCAAATATTTGGAAATATTTTTTTCCCAACTGCCATCGTTGTGTAGTTCCTAATGAGTTTATACTAATTATAACAAACAGAAAGCTCGGATCAGATTTTTTTTTAATGTTTTGTTCTTAGCTTTTACACTAGTTTCACATCAATCATCCAAGGGATACACTTACAATAGTTACTCTGCAAAACGTTTTGAGGAGTGCATGCTCATCAAATACATTCAGTACACAGTCACTGAAAAGCGAAACTTCCTTCACAATACAATGAATAAAAAACATTGTGCTACACTCTAAAGATGTTCAAACTCCTGTAGATTCGGCTTTTCTTTTGGTCTGCTCATGAAAGTAATTCTTTTTTGCAATGGAGCGATGGCTTGATAACTTGATTGTCAATATTAAACTTTTCCCGAATGTTATTACCCTCCCATGGTTTAATGTTTCGTTACTTTTCTTCGCTCCGTCATTTTTTGAGTAAGAATTTAACATGGTCGGTACTTACGTTGAGTGCCTCTTGCCCGGTCCCCTCTCCATCGATCACTGCCGCGGGATCGAAATTGAGATCCGATGGTATATCCGGTACGGAATTGTCGTTGTTGGTGGCGCCTCCGCCTCCGGCGCCGTTGGCGTTGCTGCCCGTCGAGCTGGCGCTGTTGTTGTGGTTGTCGGAAGTGTTCGGAGGCGGCACGCTGGGCGGTCCGGTACCGCCGCCTGGGGTGTGCGCCGACCCGGGCGTGTGTGGCGTATGAGGAGTGTGCGGCGTGTGGGGTGTGTGAGGCATCTGCTCGTTTAGGCTCTTCTCCATTGCGTTGAGCGGGTCCAGCGAGTTGACCGACTCGCTCAGGTGGCTCAAGGGACCGTTCCCACCCAGATACTCGTTGCTGCCGGCATAGGAACCTATCGGGCCGGAGTCCAGGGCACCGGTTCGGCCTGCACCCCCATAGGAAGGTCCGTTGATCATCGACCCGCTGGCGATGCTGTTCATATCGGGCGGAAGGTAAGGAGACATCGCCTGGGACATGTCCCAGTTGTTCATCGTCGGTAGGGTCATGCTTCCGGGCGACATAGCTTTGTTCATCCGTTTCGCGCCGCACGAGTCGTTTCCTTCGTCTTCCAGCTTGATGCCGGCCTTGGTTGCCTTCCAGTTGGCCGAACTGTCGATGGTCACCTCCTCCACGTCCGACGTGGCCAAATTGTTGAGGATTCCCCACATGTATTGGTCGACCTCTAGGCCTTCCAGCTGCGCCGGTTTGCTGCAAACAAAACGTCGGGTTATAACGCGATCGATGGGTGGAATTTCCGGTCGACTTACTTGCAAACGGGACACCTCCACGAGCCTCGTTCGCAATGAAGCTGCAGGTACGACTCCAGGTCGAAGCACTGGATGTGTTTGCACTCGTGCCCTCTGGCCGGTAATGTAATCCGCTTGAACGTGATGGGACACTTTAGGGACACTTTGAGCGCGGTCTGTTCGACCGCTTCCCGGTCCCTATCCATGTTGGGCCCCGTTCCCGTGTTGCTGAAGTTGCGTTTGATTTTCGTTATGCAGTGGTCCGCCGTGAGAAGCCTCTTCCGCAGCAGACCCTGCAGTACCGATCTGACGCTCGGTCGATGGACCAGTTGCAGCACAAACAAGTGCGAGCAACAACACGCGGCCACGGTGATTTGAATGGTGTTCCTGCCGGGTTGGCACACGTCCTTCAGGTAGAGCGGTTTGTGGGAGGTCTTATGCTCGCCCCGGTCTATGACGAGGGGCGTGGCGTTCACTGAGACCTGGACGCTCGTAGGCCAGTTGGTGTTCATCGCTCTGTCTTCGTGGTGGAAACACTTGAGCTGCAGCTCCAGGTCCGACCGCCACATGAGCGTTTGGTGCACGGTCGGTTTCAGCTGGAACACGTGATTGCTTACGGCGAGGTTGTGTTCCAGCCGGAAAGGGGGTAAGATGATGCCGTCCCGCACTGGGAAAGTGAGCCGCAACTCCTCGTCCTCTGCAAAAGAATCGGGGATTAGTATTATTATCGACCGACACGTCGACGCGTCAGACTTACTTTGAGGGAGGATGGGTTTCAGATCGTTAAAATTGGGCTTCACGTCCGGATTCGGACTGATATAGGGTGGAATACTGCTAGCCGGCGTGAGCGGTGGTGTGGGGTTGCCCGGTATCGGGCTGTGCTGATAGTTCATGTTGTTGCGCATGGCGACGTCCTGCTGGAACTGGCTACTGGAGTTGTACTGGGCTTGCGCGGACGTGTTCATGTTAAACTGACCGGAATTGTTGGAAGGGAACTGATTCATCGAACCATTGGGGAAATACTGTCCTTGGTTAGTGTACGGGGGCGTGGCCCCGCGCAATTGCCTCGAATTGCTCACCGGTCCCATGGTGCCGGGTCCGGGTCCGAACGACCCGGTCGGGCCCAGACTCTGCTGGGTAGGATACTGATTGAAAGTGGGCTGTCTAGTCCCATACGTAGGATACTGATTGTTAGGAGTGAAGTTAGGATTCATCTGGGGGTTCATACTGGGGTTGATTGTCGGGCACGGCCCGTTAGGGTAGTTTTGCTGCGCCCGCTTTTGCGCCATGTGCATCGCGGGCGACGGATACGGCGCCATCCGTCTCGGGTACATAGCGTTCGTGTTGCCTCCGGGACCTTGGACGGGCATGCCCATCTTGGGACCCATGCCGGCCATGTTGCCCATGCCGTGCATGGCGCCCATATTGTTGATGGGTCCCATGTTGTTCATCGGGTTCATGCCGTTCATTCCGCTCATGCCGTTCATCGGCATCATCCTCTGTTGGTAACCCTGGTTGTACTGTTGGCCTCCGAATTGCGCTCCGTTGTCCTGCAAGGCGACCACGCTGGCCGTTGCCGTGGCTGTTGCGGTGGCCGCGGCTACCATCGCCGCCGTCGATAATGCGTTTCCGCTTCCGTACGTCCCCTCGCCACCGTTCATACCATTACCGGCCCCATAATTACCAATACTGGAACGAAAACGCGAATTCTAATACTCCAAAGAGGGGAAATTAAAAATTAAATTAAAACAAAGAAGAAAATGTTTGGTGTTGCAACAAAAGAGGATTTTTGATATTGCAACATAAAAGAGGGAATTGTGTACCAGAACCCAGGTAAACAATGTTGGAAATCAGAATTTGTTACTGAAACAACTAAGTGTAATTGAAGACACGACAAGAGAGGGGCAATTGCTACTGACCTAACGCTCGCGGATACTGATGCATAAGATAAATTTAATACTGCAATAAACGGAGGAAAAAATCACGTCGCTCCGCCGCTGCCGTGCCACAAATCCCCGCGCATTTCCGCCCTGTTAAGAATGCTGCACGTTTTTTGGTGGTCCGGAAATACCTGAGCCGAAAAAAAGGCCGGCGAGTTTTTGACTTAACCCCCCTACCCTTGTGTGAACCGCAGCGCGGCAACCGGAAAGGTTTGCCCGCGTATCGTAAGTAGCGCGTCATCTCCCAACTGTATGTTACCACGATACGCGTCGAATTCGTAACATTTAAATTTCAAACGGTTTAGCATGGAGCTCATTCAAAACTTGTAAATTTTGAGCGCTCATCGAAATGCGAACGGTAATTATTCGATCGCCCTATAATACTGAAGCCCCGGCCGGCTGGGGTTGACAATTGCCGATCGCCCCCTGCGCGTCGGCCATTGTTTGGGCCCGCCTTTAACCCACCACCACCACCGGTCCGAAAGCAAACGCGAGAGAGCCGGGGTTTTCTCTCGGTTTGTTTGACAATCGTGAAAGAGCGGAGGCTGACAGCAGGGCTGTATTCAGCCGGTAACTGTTATGGAAAAAAAACGTCAGCCAAGAAAACGCGACGTTCGAAAGTGGCGAATGAGTGACTGCATTACAATTTTTAAAAGTTATAAAACCTTTAATATAGACCTCCATAAAAATGAAGTTTTTTCGATATAATTCGATTTGTATATTTAAAATTAAAAAAAAATGCAATGAGAAAATACGACAAATGAACAGTAAATGGTGAATTCCAATTTGACATTTGTTGCGTTGTTTAACGTTATGATTTACAAGAATTTTTAAAAGGAAGTTTAGGTACACTAATGGAAAAATAAAATAATTTGTTTATTTTTATGAGTGTTTAAAGTTACAGAAATATTTAATATAATTATATGTTTGACATTAACTGTTTTTTGGTCTTAATTTTTAAAGTTCGATAGAAAAACACTACCTTTATGTCAGTCGGTGGCCGAGTACGACCCTGCGTCAGTTTTTCCGGCACCCCGACCCCGCGTACGGACTCTTTCATTGTTGTTTCATTGTATTTATTAGTGCGTTTTTAACGTCGATATGGGGGTTTGGCGTTTTTGTACCCGAGCAGCACTGTGGGATTTTTTTTCCTCTCGACGGTTACGTCGTCGCCGTCGTCATTTCCCCGCAAAATTAGCCGGCAATATTTCTAAAGCGGCGTTGCCGCCATGTGCGTATTTCGGAACACGCAAGGAGCGGACGGCTGCGTCGTAAATGACGATTTAATTCGTTAGTCGTAAACAACGACAAAAAAAATCGCGTTTTTCTTATCCAATTTGTCGAAGCGACACGGTAATTGCGCGGAATTTTTTTAAAAAGAAAAACGCATTGTTTGTTTTCCATAGGCACGCGATACTGCGCGTAGTTTTCCGATGCCTCGGACCACAGACTATGCAAACCTAGACTTCTCACATTTAGGCTTTTAATATGTATAGTAGTATATGTTATCCATGTTATGCAAAGTATAGCTGAAAAAGTGTCAACATATGCAACTGTTTCGCGTTTCGAATCTTCTCTTCTCGATGCAACCGTCAGTCTAGGTCTATTTAGTCCACGCCCGGACGAATCGATCACGCGTGAGAACTTTTGGGATTATTCCGTTTTAATAATATATTCCCGACCCTCCCGTCCTTTTCTTTTTATTGTCGCTCCTCCTCCATTAAGAACCGGCAAGCAGGCTCCCTCGAACGGTTATACCGAGTGACAAAAGCCTAAAAGTTCACGCAAACAAATGTCGGGGATATTTTAAATTTATTCGGAACTAGTCTGGATAAAGAAGTTTTGCCAAACGTTAAAGTACAATTCCTGGTACCAAGCTCCTCGATTTATACCAACTTCAGAAATACTTGAGAAAAAGAACAAGTTACTGAAACAGGGATTGGAAGTCACACGTTTGTGACAGTTCATGAATTGGCACTTTCCTATGACTCACAACTCGTTTGAAAAACAGCAAAGTGCAATTCCTGGTATGAAGCTCATCGATTGAGACCAACTTCATAAATACTTGAGAAAAAAAATGAGTTACTAAAACAGGGTTTCTGAAATACAACGATCTAATGAAGCACGGACCAACTCTAGGAAGTTTATGGCAGATCTTGAATCAGCACTTTCCGTTGACTACAAATTCCAGACTTGTTTTGCAGTTAACAATAATACGGATGAAATTAACCAAAATTTTTGGTTGAAAAATTTGTCGAGCCTGTACCGACTGACTACGAAAAATCTTTTGTTTCGTGGTGATAGCCTCGCCCTCCAAAAGTTCCGAACTTGAACAACGTCGTATACGCGCCGATGGTTTCGCCTGTGGCTCGGTGGAGACGGGAGGAGGGTGGGTATTTGTAACGGCAGTGCCTAGACCCGGAGGGAAGACGAGACGTTCGGCACGCAAGGGGGTCGAGATTCGGAAGGAAAATAATATTCGATTGGATTGAATTTTTCGGAGCATCGCTGCCAAATTGCAGAGACGCCCCGGGGCGGTCGAATATAACGTTATGGATCAAATGATTACCGGCATAGATATCGGATATTTGAAGATTTTATAGATCCGAATCGAGCCGACCGGATCTTTTGCTGTTCATTATCGAAATCATGAAAATCAGTATAGAATAGCCAATTAAAATTCTTTGAGGAGTTAGACCGGGCTGTATCATTCGGTCACGTATATTCAACAAGCGGCGTTCGATAGTACTAGAGATACATGAGCAATCTACAAGACTCAATGAATAGATGTAATTAAATGTAAAATTAGTAAAGAAGCTGACCTATCGGAGAACCTTATAAATAGAAAAGAAGGTGGAAGTCATGAATGTCATCCAAAAAAAAAAGCAACGGCTAATTTCAGAACTTAAACTATTACGGAAGTCGTCATTAAAATCACCCGTTGAACTATTCAAACCCAGCTTAAGAGAAACTAACCGGCGCAAACACCTCTGGGAAAGTTTAAACCGCGATCTCGTATTCTGGAGGACGGACGGTAAGTATTCTTCTTTTGCCATAATATTTTTACGACTTCGTCTCGTCACGTATGCACCGAGACTAGAGAACTTTCAGGTCCCCAACGAAAAGGCGCAACTTTTTACTACCTGCCCCGTAAAGCGTCATTATTAATAAGGGGGTTGCGGGCCGTTTTTCTGGCTCGTCGTGAGAAAACGATACAAATGGCGGGTACGTGGCATGGAGAGCACGTGTTTCCCAATACAGGCCAATTCTGTCTACCTAAAAGATATCCGTCGGGAAAGACGGCACTTAAAAACGCCCCCCAGGCCCACAAATCCGGCCCGAACTACCTAAGATTTCCCAGAAACCACCCTCGTTTACGATACCGACCGTGCCCCCGCAGCTTAACATCCCACCTCGTGTCAAAACAGGGACGTTCGCGCGATTGTTGCCTGCCAGAGAGCTCGTTTAAGGGAAGAAATATCGTGTTCATTACCCCCACTCGAGACGACACTTCCGATCGAACCGTACGTCGGTGACGTCGGCCCGCGATTTGGCGGAGACGACATTCGGAATTTATTTATTTATGACACGATCGCGAGCCAGCCAGCGTTTGATGTTAATAATACGTTTAAGGTTTTCGATTATGTTGCCTTTTCATTGACCTGGTTATCATTCACGGGGCCCGCCTCGGACCCGAGAGACGGGCGACGTTGCCAAATTCGGCGGTTTATTTTCCTCGACCTTCGATGCGGCCACGGCACGAGACGCTCAGCCCCCATATTAATAAAATACCGTCTTGAAAGTATTATACATGATTAAATACGATCCATTAATAAAATACGTTCGGGAAATTAAATTAATGTTTAACGTGCAGTGCAAATGCGCTCTAGAATTCTATAACGTAATTTACTTAATAAAATATAATCTAGATTGTAATTGAATTTATAAAATATACTCTAGACTGTAGATTATAACTAAACAACTAAAACAGTGCTAGGATTTAATTAAATTAATAGATTACGATCTGTATTCTAGTTATACTTTGATTATCAAAAAACTTTGATAATTTACTTTAATGAATGGTTCTATTCCAACTTAAATTAATTAAATTAAAAAAATTAAGTTAAAAAACTTAAACAAAATGCAATGTAGTTCTAATAAAAAACTTTGATTATAGTTTAAATGATAACAAGCGTTCTGGGACACACTGTTACTGTTACAGAATTTGATTAAATTAATGAATTACGACTCAGATTCGAGTTTATTTAATAAAACAATGTCAATTCCAGTTTGATTTGATTGATTGATTGTTCTGGAACGCAATTTACTTTATAGAAAGGTTCCTAAATGGACCCAAAATTCGAATGTGGTTAATAGAATACGTTCCAGAATAAAAATGAATTGCTAAAATACATACCCTGGTGGCCGGTAAGTGTTTTGGCTGTATCCAACTCCCGGCTGGCCCTTGATGCCAGCGGCGGGGCCGTTCGCAGCCGCGTAACCGTTGGGCTGAGGGGCCGGGCCTCCCGTGTACCCCCCGTGGGGGCCCGACTGCGTGGACGTTGTTACTCCCCACACGTTGGTCACAACAGACAACTGCTGCTGGGTAGCGACGCCACCTGGCGACCAGTCCCTGCGAAACAAACGCGAGGTTTTTTTTCCATGTTTGTTTTTAAATTTCGATTTTTTTTTTATCGATTTACGTGACGGTAGACGCGGCGACCGACGCAAGTTTGGCGGTCGTAATATATGCAATCATTTTAGTGACGCGTAAGTTCTTATCGCCCGCATCGGTTTTAATTGCGAACGATCGCAGCGCTTTCGTCGGCCGAGAGATGGCGCCGCGGGTGCCGAAAAAAATAAAAAAATTCGTGCGAATCGCTACGTGCGGTTCGCGTCAGCCTTGATAATCGCGAGTTAATGATATTTTTAGGCGCCCGTTCGGGTTTTAATGTTTTTCGGTATCGATAAAGGTCCGTTATAGGTGAACGGCGAAAAAAAAAGTTAATTTGTCGGTTTTCAGTATTTTCCTAGCAGGCTTTTTCTTTTTTAAATTTATCCATGTTTGTTCGAATTACTGCAAGGTAGAAATACGAAATTGACGTTTAAGTAAGACTATATAAAAAATTAATTATAGCATAATATTACAACAAATTATAGTTAATTAATATCCGCAATAGCACATTCGATAAATAAAATTAGATAGTAAATGATTCGGTGAAATATTTCCATTTATAAAGAACAAAGTTTTCAAAGTTATTCGTAAGTTCGGGTTAGGCCGATTTTCGAAAAAGTTTGCCTGTTTCGAAATCGTTTTTCCTATATGTTTGATTATCGCTGGCAATTGTTTTCCTATCAAATAATTTTCGGAGATTTTCGTCGCCGCCGGGTCAATGACATCGGAGAAAAAGACAGTTTTAATTTTTCGCACACGGCACACCGCGACTTTCAGACGGCTCGTTTTTTATCGATTGTTTACTAAGTACACCTCGATTGACGTTGTTTGAAAGTTTAGATATAATTTTCGTGATGTTCACGACTTTTACGCACCGGATAATCCTGCGCCCCAGCTAGTTTTTATTACTATCAACTCACGCCCAATCCGATTAGGATGCTTTTTTTTACAAATTGATTGAGTTTACGGACGAAGGGGTATCAGTCCAAAGAAATTGGAATTTTATTCACCGATAAGGATATTATTTTTGATAATTTGTTTTATCCACTCGCGCCTTAACTGATTGACGAACGGAAGACGATCAGAGCCCCTGGAGACGAAAATTAAAATGTTACTCACCAATAACGGTAGTATCTATTTTTTTCATTTTTTTTTATCTGCCTAACCAATCAGAATTAGTTTTTTATACTGTCAAAGGACGATCAGTCCAAAGCGTGAAGACGACGGATAACAATGTTATCTATTTTTTTATCCCTCGCACCCCCATCAGAATGTTTTTTTTTCACAAATTGATGAGTTTAAGGACGAAGGGCGATCAGTCCAAAGTCTCCATCCCCGGAGACGTAAATTGAAATTTTAATGTATTAGAGCGGATTTCTCGACTTTTACTCACCGATATCGATATTATCTATTTTTTGTTATTTTTTTTTATCAACTCGCGCCTTAATCGATCGGAACGAATTTATTTGAAGTTTGATTGAGTTTGCAGACTAAGGACGGTCAGTCCAAAGCCTCCACAAAAAGGCACGACGACGATGGATATGCGGATATCGTGAAAGTCTTGTGTGGTGAGGGGATTGTTTCAATTATCCATCGAACACTAACAATCCTTTGGTGCGCACTCACACACTGCTGTCGAATAATCCAAGAAATTTGGCACTTCCTCACTATTCGATAAATCCAAAACACCACTGGGGTTCACTTGGGGTAATCCATAAAATCTGTAGGCCTTCACAGTTCTGTTTGACGCACCAACCACACGTACTGCCTCACTGCATCCAAAATCACTTTCCGCAAAATCCACCGTCGCGTGCCGTCCGCAAAATTAAACCTTCGCATTTACCTGTAGGAAGTATAGCCCAGCATTTGAATGAAAACATAAAGAAGAGTGTCTCCTTTGCCTGACGCGGGGGACCAACACCGAAAAATGCGGAAAAATACAAACAGGACGGTCCCCGGAATTCACGACCGATTCATCTCGATCCGGTGCGTGAAACGCGCGCTGTCAAGTCGGGCCGCAATAGCACACCACTCTCTCTGTATTCTCTGACACCAGTGCCGTTTGACGCTTTCGCGACTCTGCCGTTCGGTTCCGTGCTTACACGAGACGCGCCGAACTACTACTGACTGGTCCGAGTCGACCGTAAGGATCGCGGAGAAACACCGGAGGACGTTGGGAGGGCGAGGGGCACCCGGCGCGGCGGTGGGGCGCAACGAGGGGAAGTTTGACCCGAGAACTCGGCTTATTCTCTCCTCTCCATACCGTGCGGCCACAATATCGGTTATAGCCGGCGAGGTTGCCGGTTTGTTTGATGAACAGGGACGGGGTCAGGTCGCGGAAACTCCTAAGTCATCCTAATCGTCCACTTTGACGGAAGCATTCCAGGATTGCTACCGTGAAGTATCGTCACATAACTTTAGGGCCTGACAATAACGTTTTCTGTAAAGCCTCCCAAATTAATATCCGATCTCATGCTTCAAACAGGTGTCGACCCTACGCAGTGGAAACTTAAAAATGTGTGCCCAGTGTTTACGGGTGGAGAATTTTGTATGAAAAAGGATTGGATGTATAAGGTTTAATGCCCAAAGGCCGACGAACTTTATACAGGGGGTCATACAATTGAAGGAAATAGTCAATGGGACGTAATTTTTCCATATTTTGGTCAAACATACACCGCGATGTAATGCTGTCAAAACTACATAAATTTGTATTGTCGAAGGGGTTATCGATACTGGTCGCATCTTATTTGTCAGACAGGAACAATGTGCGAATCGACAGTCTAGTGTTCGAAACCGGACCCCTTTTCTTTTTACTACTGATGGACGATGACTTTAAATTGTATAGAGAAATAAGAAACGATGATCCAAGCCTACTTCTACTTCAAAACGATGCAAGCAGAGTATATGAGTGGTCCCGGCAAATCGCTTACGATTCGACTTTAAAAAAGCAGAACTTTGATTCTATAGTGAATGATAACATTTTTAATTAGAAATGAAAACAGTAGAAATACTCTACAATGCATTTGTTCGAAGTATACTTGAGAAGGTTGGAATAATTTGGTCGCCCTATTATGCAGTACACCAAAACCAGATGGAGGAAGTCCAAAAGAAATTATTAAGATTTTTTGTAGAAATTTATTTGTTACTTCCAAGACCGCGTACCAACTTAGTTAGTTGTATGGTTAGTATTAAGTATAATTAACGAAAAAATTATTATGGAAATAGTTCTAATGAAATAAAGTTATGCCTTTTACTGCTATCGGTTTAGTTGTAAATTACATCCGCTGGGCGGGGTTAACTCCCCTTGCGACCAGCAAGCACTTCTAACTTGCACTTCCTGTTTAGAACTATTTATTTAGTTAAATAAAATAAAGTTAAGCGCATTGGACTGAAAGATGTCAGCAGAGATAGACAGGGGGCATTAAAAATGTGGCCGTATATATACAAATGTAAACGCATCTGCAAACTATATTTCAATGGATGCATAACATATCCTCAAATCCCAATTCTTGTTACATAAAAGTTGCCGTGGAAGGACATAGTTGAAGAACGGACTGACGTAAATCATTTTAATTGTGATTCTTCGGCAGGTATAAGAGAAAGTAATTGGATCGCTAGGTTAACTGATTAAACGAAGGTTATGTAGGCAAGGGAAGTAAATCATCGAACAGAGTGTGGGAGCAACGGTCAGAAAGAGATATTTTAGGAATTTTAGGAACGAAAGAGGTTTTTGAGTGTTGGTTGTTTTTCAGCGTATTACTAACGTTCAGTACGTGGGATTGATTTTGGGTCGAGTACGGTCCTGCCGCCTAACAAGACCGATATGCCGTGGGTGGGTAGCACACACATACATTTACACACGGCGTGCGGCGTCCTCGTCGCACCCGCGGCGATTGTCTCTGCTCCGTCTCCGTCTAGAACGCAATTTGACTAGTGGATCCGTTTGTGTGGCGCTTTAAAATGATACCGCGCCGCCACGATACACGGGAACGCAGGATCGCGCGTTTTTCCCGATTTTATTTCGTCGATTCGTATCCCTTCGACTTATTCCTGAGAACCGTTTCAATCGTACGCTAATAACCGCACGCCTGCGAGGGGCTTTGTTTGAAAACGCGGCCGTTAGTTGCGGCGCCGTCGACAGATGGCGCAGCGTGTTCGATTCGATATCGCCGCTTGCCGTTTCAATCGTCCGGCGCTCGATTTTTCGTCGACGGGTGTTGAAGCGTTTTGCGTCTCGTCGTCTGGAAACATTTTCGGAATTTTGAATTACGCCGGATCGATTTAGAATCGCCGATTTTGACGTAACGCGTTCGGTCGTTCCACTTTCGCGGCGTTTCGGCCGGCGCGCTTCCCGTGTTGCCGCTAGATGTCGCCGGCAGTAACTTCGAGGTATTCCGCGACGCATTCGTTTCGCATGGACCGCTTGGCGGTCTGCGGGGATTTTCGGTGGAACGCTTTGCCGCATTTGTTTACATTAACGGGACTAATTTTGGTAAAACGGAAGCGTTGGGGGCGGGGGCGGCGCACTGGGTCCCATTTTGGTCGGGACTGAATGGTTGTTAGTGAAGATAGGGCCTTGCGTTTTCGCAAATTTTTGGTACCCTTTTTGCGAAACGAAAGATGACGTTAACAAAATTTCCATGACTTGCTTAGTTTTTGAAATACTGGAAATTTGAAGTTTTGGGGCACCCTTCGAGTCTCGGGTATCCTATGAAATGTCGGAAAGGTGCAAAACGCATCCGATATAGATTTTTACGGACGAATCGCGCAACCCTCTCCTTTTTTTCCTTTTTGTCAAGGATATTGGCGACTACTTTTCTCTAACGGCTTTTTAAGGCCTCTCAACTTCAGAGAGTCAGTAAGAGAGAATGGTCAGGTGCGCAAACGAAAATTCCCTTGTAATCAATGATAAAAAAACTAACGTGAAGTGCTTTAATAACTCCCCTTCGGTAACCCAACCAAAGCTCTTCTTTGGTGATTCAATGCTGGTTCAAAGGTTTAACTACCTTGGTGTCCCATTCTCTTTTTTCCCTTTTGAAAAAATGGCAGACACAAGAGTTTCCAAAGCGAGTCATTTAGCGGAGGCCGCATTATCGGTGCTGAGAAACAGTAAGTTTTCCTCTTAGGACGCAATTAAAAAAAATATATCAAACAACCTTAAAAAATATTTTACACCGACATAGTTGAGGGAGTACAGACCAACTTTTTAAATAGATTATTGTTACTTCCTAAATCAACTTCAAGTACTTTGCTTCGCCTTAAATCAGGTTTCACACACTGTATTTACGGAATCTTTAAATTTCGCCTTACCTTTCTTATGAAAGTGTTAATAATGGACGAGAGTCGTCGTCCCCCGAGACTGTGTTTTGATCGCCGGTTATCTCTGATCATTAACACAAGGCACACCAAATTCAACTCGGCATATCAGATTAGAGAGCTGTTTTGTGAATTGGGTTATAGAGCAGTCCATCATAAATCACTCTAAGACATCAAAAGAATGACATCTTAGAATGCTTTAAAACCAGACTTTCTGAAGCAGATAACAACATTGCAGCCTACACAAATTTTTAATCAAGCTTTGTACCCTCTGAGCTACCACCCAGCTATTGCTATTTAAATTGCCAATTGCTAATGCACAATTAAGATTAATAATAACATTGTTCTGAAATTCTTCTATAATGGTTGAGTTTACTTTACTACTTATAAAATAAATAATTTGTATGCTGATAGATCCCTATTAGTTTCTTTTAGGCTCATGCTTGATGCGGATTTATTGTTGTTGAAATGTAATTTCTGATGAGCAACAAATAATAATGATATAGATTTTTACGTAGCACTCAGCGGCGTAGTCAATTTTTTTCTAAATGGTTTCGTCATTTTGAAAAAAAAAGATTGGTGTCTTTGATTCCACTATGTATGAGTTTCCCAAAAATGTATAACAGTGAATTAAACATTAATTAAAAATTTTGTATTTTAAAGAGCAGCGGAATGTCACTTAAGATATTTTTTTTACTTTAAGGCTTCCAGAGAGATCACAACCAAATCGTGGCGCAATATTTAAGCTAAGTGCTTTAATAACTTTAATTCTTACTTAGATTGGGATCCTATTCAAAGCTTCGTCCAAAGAACTATAGCAAAAGAGATGAAATAGAAGAAATAAATATTATAGCAAGCATGTACCATAGCACAAAATTCATGTAGTGTCATCGAGCAGGATACGGGAGTACCAAAAACTAGATTCGAGAAAATATTAAAGGATCATAAATTTAAGCCTTATAAGGTCAGCGTAGTGCATTATTTATATTCTGGCGATCCAGATAGGCGACTGGTATATTGCAATTGGTTTTTGGAGCAAATTAGGCGAGACCATCATTTTGCTAGTAATTTGGTCGGATGAAACTTTCATAAGCAGCGCTGGTATATTTAATTAACAAAATACTCTGGCATCAAGAATGCCTAAATATAATATAAGTAAGCTCACGTCAAGTGGACCCCCATTTACTACTTGATCATAAAAAATTAATCTATATATATATATATATATATATATATATATATATATATATATATATATATATATATATATATTATAGGTTGATAATTTTAAAACACTGTAATTGTCATTGACGTTTCTACCGGCAATCCAGATCTTTCTCAAAAACTGCAAAACAAAGGACAAAAAAAAGCGAGATTATACAAAGAATTAGTTCGCTATCAAACATTAAACGTCTAACACAGAATATCTTAAACAGTAGACATATACGAATTTAAAAATTAGAAATATTACAAAAACAAATTACATATATTAGTCATACTCACAATTTTTTTTTAAATGTCTATTATTTGCGCTGTTTGTGAAAAAGTACCACAACATACATCATTGCCAAAAACAATAACGTTCTTGCTTTGGCGTACGAATCAAAAATAGAAGTGGAAAATAAACATTCATTGTATCTGATGTCTTTTTTCTTTTCCCTCTTAGTTTTTATTTATTTATTTTTTTTAGAGTGTACGTTTGTGTTAAGTTTAAGACCTACTCATACGCGGTGGAGCATCTGAATATTAAAATGGTATACTTTAACAATTCGAAATAGATTTCACTCAGGTGTTTTATGTCGGTTTTCGCGTTTA